CAAGCATTTTTTCTAAGTGTGGGAGGACACACTGTTGGCAATGGGTGCACAGAAAAATAAAACGACTCGGTTTGTTGACCCGAACCCGAGAAATGTTTTTAATAATTTCCACATCACAGTATTTCTCATTTGATTAAAACGTCCGACAGAGGAAGTTTTAATGGCTGTTAAACCCCAATGATTGATTCCTCGAGCGTTCTGTCCAATAGCCTTAGGATAGTTTTGAAGAAACCGTCGATGTGGCATTGTGTGCGTCGGATATTTGAAAAGGATATTTCGCTTATTGGAAAGGCATTGTTCGTTTCTGCAAAAGATTTACTTTTGAACTTATTGAACTATACGCTGTTCACAACTATACATGCACACACGAGCAAACATCTTTTCGCTTCTGGGCTAGTTTGCGGGAATGGAACTTTTACAATATAGGTATGATGAAGGTTAATACCGAATAGCATTGTACTTAAACGTTTATTCACGTTGAAAAATATAGAATTCGTAGATATATATGTACACATATATCTAAGTTAAAATCCCTCATAAGGATATTATGGCTGTTTTCGATTCGTTGTATTGTAAAAATTTCAACAAACAGAACATTTCCGCAAAAGAACGGCGACAATCACATTTTTTTAACATACATATATATGTTTTCACTATCAGCTGCTAATAATAAAAAGAAAATTAATTATTGAGGAGAAATAATCTAAAAACATAGGCAGTTTGAAAATGTTAGATATACTGTAATGTACAGCGCACAGTCTGGTTTTACAAATATGTTTTTTTTTATAACAATTTATGACTCATAATAAAAAAAAAACCGAAAATCGACAAAATAACAAATGGCAAACATTTAAAATGCGCAAAAAGATGTATTGGAAAATTGATGATTTTATGTCATAATATAAACTTTGATACTTACACAAAGGTTGTTTAGAATCAATAGATATGTGGTACAGCATAACACATGTTTGCATTAAATTCAAAGTCGACCATTATTTCCACCAACCATACCGTTAAGTTCAAAGAGTGATTATTTGTTGTTTAGTCAGTATAAGAACATTTTCTATAGTTTTACTATTTTTTTTATTTTTTTTATGCAGACCAAGTTGCTTGTTTTAAATGAACGTTCCGATTTGCTTGCACAATAGTACCATATTGTTACAAATATTATAGTAAATACAAATTTTGTATGAAAACATTTTTACCAACACATATTTGTATTTTAGTTAGCATAATAAAATAGTTCAAACATTAGAATAGGCTCCTAGACAAACGGCAAAACCAAATACCTTAAAAAAAAAATACACTTGTTTTCGACAATAACAAGTTCAGTTAAGAAACTTGTTGAACAGCTGTGGCCTAGATGTATATTTTTAATAAAATAATAATAACGTATAAAAAACGACTGAATATTTTACTTGTAAACTAAGCGATAAGCTTATATAAAAAAACAAAATGTGTTTTTATGATTCACACCTAGGATATAAATAAACCGGTACATAGCATACATGGTATATTGTATATAGCATACAGGTGCTTATAATCCATAGTAAACTACAACAATTGTTTACTAATTTTAAGGTACTATACTTATAAAAAAATATCATGTTGCAGACAACTTTTATACGTTTTTTATTATTGTAAAAAATATTATAAGTAGTACAATTTTGTAATTCAATAAGTTATTTTCGTTTGTACAATATTGCCAAAACAAGTTTGCAAATCGTTTCGATACTAATAAAACGTTATTGGTTTACCCACTAAAAAAACGAAAGTAGATTTCCAAAAAAAAAAAAAAACTTAGTTAGGGGTTATTGAAATGGTTACCACGTGTGTGATTACCTTAAGACTAGTCGAAAATAACTGCTTTCTATCTCTAATTTAAATAGGTCATGATGGTTTTGTCGATGCTGCTTTTTGTCTCAAGGGGTTGAGGGGGATTAAAAAGATTTAATAGGTTTGGACTTCCGGGAAACACTTGTAGATCTCAAGCAACGTCTAAAGATTATTAAATTGATTTAAATATTTAACGAGTAAATGTCATTTTTAAACGATATGTTAATTTGCTGGTATATTACTTTTTTTTAAAATTATTTCATCAACAATATCGGGTGAAGAGTAATATTTTTGATTGCATTTTTAAACTGGACACATTTAGGTCAATAGTAGACACGAATAGTATGCAGATTGTTCCTTGAACGAACTTTTAATCGCCAAAAACGCATATTTTAATCAAAGATCGTTTTCGTTGGCGAACGTAAAAAAAGACAAACGAGACATTTTAATGAGCATTGTAGTTTTCCGTCATTTCTTGTGTTGCCTTTGGCGCAATTACAAGACCGTCTACTTTTAATTACATTCCGTTTGTTCTCAACCAGTTATTAGCATGACAAAAATGTTCTGTCGTTTTGCTGTCCTTATGATTATATATACTATACTTGGTACCTAATTAAGTGGAATGTTGCAAATTGAGCTCTCTGTTTTAGACCTAATTGAGTTTGAAACCGTTTGCAAGACAGTTTAGTACATCTTACTGTATTATTTGTAAACTTCAAAAATATGCAGTTTTGGATTTCCTTTGCACGATACCGACTATAGGTCGGTTTGTTTTAAACGACATCTGTACAGAAATAACAATAATATAATTTATAATCTACGCAGTTTTTTTTTTATGCGTTTTCAGTCGTTGACAAAAGTAATTTAGTCAAACATGCCCGAATAAATACATACATTAACATAACATTAAACAGCTGCAATGGTCATTAGATTTTTTTTTAACGGCTGGAAAAAGCCAACTCGACCATAGCTAAGCGAAACCGTTAAGGGTACAACCGTAGTATCAAGTTAACCGTGTCTATTGTATATATTACCCGAAAGTTTAAAAAAACCCAAAATTCTCATATTTGGGTGTGTAGATCATTCCAAGAGAGAGAGAGAAATTCTTTTCATTCGACTGGTTTGGCTGACAGCCCTTCGATGGTATGACCACATTAGGCAAACATTTAATGTATTATTTGGACCCATTGTAAATAAACCATCGTTTCATCAAAAAATCAATGTAGATGTGTATCATGGACAGAAAATATTGTATTATATGTATAGCAAGAGTTATGAAAAAAAATATCCTAGCTGGCCAACCACATTGGTGTATTGGATTGACTTAGATAGCTCATAATTAAGTGTTTTAATGTGTATTATTATTAGTCATATCTCTTATATCGATACGAATTTAAGGTAAATAAGACGCAAAAGTAAAACTACCGAGTGTTGTTTACATACTTTACCGTTTACTTTAATATACTGACGCATTTCATGTGGCCTAAATTCAGAGTAAAAAATAAAACCTAATACATTAACAAACGGAAACCCAAATTTGGGCCTCTGGTTAAAGAGTTCTGTACACGTTAAAAAAATATTCGTTCTACTAGTTAAAATTTTAACAGATACAAAAAAAAAAATAGGACCTATGTCGTTATATACAACCTACATGTTATAAGTTGATTATAAAATATCAATTAACAAAAAAAAAAAAATCTTCTCTTTAGTTATACGGCAGTAAAGTATAACTTTACCTACCTAACTGAAGATAAAATATGATATTTAGACTTAATCTGAAATATTTAACTCAAATATAATTACTTTTCATAGGTAAAAACCAAACAATATTACTTCATTTTTATTCCAAGTAAAGAGCAAAATATACATTAATATTTGTATAGATATTGATATAATACACACAAGTCGAATAAAATACATTAGTTTAGTATTGTACAGGTCATAGATTGCCGGTTAAGTATAATAATTAAAATTGTTTATTAATTGACAATTTCTATAATAATTATTACATTATTATAGCTAACTTGTATCAACGATAGGAAAACAATAATTTATCGTATTTATTTCATCTTATTTATTTCTGGGAATGACACTTTCTTCTTAACAGTTCTTTTTATAAAACATTATAATATATTAATGTCAGGTTTTAATTATTTATTTTGTATGCATTTGTTCATTGTTAAGAATGCAATAATTACACTTAACAGTGAACTTTTACACAAATAGGAAAAGTCAACTCCTTCATTCTTAAAACCGGGAAAACCCGAAAACCAAGTTGACCGGTTTTTAACCGACAACTTTGATTTGCTATAACTTAGCCGATTCAAATCGACATTTTTAAAGAACAGCGTTTAGGCTTGCCTCACATGCCCTCAAACCCAAATGTCGATAACCAACAAGTGCTTTTTTTTTTTAAATAATTAATGCACATTTTTAGAGTTTAATGTGAATTTTGAAGGCTACTGTTGAAATTTAACCTGATTTTCTGGTGTTGTTGAGTTGTTTTTTTACTGTGAAAAAATCTGCGGTATGCCTACATTTGGAATACTTTAAAGAACACCATATCGGTTAGGTTGTAATCGGTTGTACGAATAAACAAATGCGCAAAAACATGAAAATAGACTCGATGACTCTTTTTTACCTAACCTAATCTCGAGGTTGGTGTCTATAATATTTTTTACCCCTCCTAACAAATTTTAGTTTTGTGCCACTGATCCGAATTTTATGATTTATCGTCAAAATAAGAAAATAGATTTGATTTTTAAGAATTACTTTAAAAGTTAAATGGCAATTGGATGTTTTATTTTATTTAAAAAAACATCAAACGACCAAAAAATCTCTCATTTTTTTTTCGCGTTGATTTCTATTTTTTATGTTCAAATTTAACATATTTTCACATTTTATAAACATTCAGTTATTTCCCTATAGGCTATTATATTTCGATATTGTCTTTTTGTGGAATAGCTTTGACTAATCAATGTTGTAAAATTAGATTAATTTTATGTTTGTGAACACTTCAAACTCGCGTTGTATACAATAATTAGTGAACTAGTATACTTATTTTGTTATAAGAAATCGTTAAGTTCTAATCTAAGTTTATTTGTTCCTAGTCTTACAATGACCATCATAAATTTGTTTAATAACATATATTTTGTGCTTCATAGGCTAGAGTGTTCTCAATCTAAATTCAAGAAGGTGTTGTTAAATCCTGACAGGACACACTGCGGTGAAAAAACAAAGAGCAAATAAAGTTACAAAGAAGAGGGGTAATAGAAATAGAAAGTAAGCAAGAAATCAAGGTATATGGACCGAAGTCTTTTTATAATGAAATAACCCCAAAAGTGCCTTTAACGCTAATAAATGTGTATATTGAAGAAATAAAATAAAATAAATAAACATAGAAATGTAATTAAATTATTACACAAACTAGTATAATTTTTTAAAATAAAATAAAATATTTCTGACAAATGTCACAAATATGAAAAATTATCAAATTTGACATAAAGTCATTTTTGAAAAATCAGTGACTTATGTTGTTTTTGAAATGACTGATTCAATTTGAAATTCAATTCGAGGATATTATCTTACATACTATATTACATATCGTAATACATTTTTATAATGAAATAACCTAAAATTAGACTTTAATACGAAAAATTGTGGACTTTGAATACTATTATGGATTTTCAAGAACTTGAAATTCGACCTAACTTTTATATTTTTTTATAGGAGTTTTTAAGTTTTTTTTTTACTGTATAAAAATCTACGGCATGCCCATTTGGAATACTTTAAACAATACCTTATCGGTTGTACGAATAAACAAATGCACAAAAACATATTTTTCGACGATTTTATCGATACAGGGTATCCCGTCAGTATATTTTAATAACTCAAATATCATGCTATCATATAGATTCTAATTAGTTGGTTTCTTTTATTCGTCTCTTGTAGGCCTAGAAGCTCAATTTAAGACAATGAACAGTTGATAGGAAAATAAATTGGCTTTTCTTTAAAACTGTAAAAGCCAGTTTTTGGATTTTGAACTTCAATGAAAATAATCCGAATCAGTGGTGCCGAACCTTCTTCTCGGGGAGGGTGGGTGGCCATTGGGTCATGAAAACAGACTCAACGATGATTAAGAACTCAACCTTGAGGTGGTTGCCCATAATATTATTTTTCCCCTCCAATTAAATATTAGTTTGGCGCCACTTATCAAGATTTTATGATATACGGCGAAAATAATAAAATCGTTTTAACTTTTAAGAATTACTTGGATGTTAAACGGCAACTGGATTTATTATTTTTTAAAAACCTCTAAACTGTTGAGTTATTATCCAGTTATTTCCCTATTATACCGACTATTATATTTTGTTATTGTCTTTGTATGGAGCAGCTTTGACTAATCAATGTTGTAGAATTAGATGCGTTTAGTTTTTGTGAACACTTCATACTCGCGTTGTACATAGTATACAATTAATAACTAGTATAATTATTTTGTTATCGAAATACATTAAAGTCTATTTTAAGTTAATTTGTTCCTTGTCTTACAATGACCATCATAAATTTGCTTGATAAAAAATATTTTGTGCATTTCAGGCTAGATTGTTCTCAATCATGTTAAATCATGCCGGGACACCCTGTATCGATAATAGCGACATGAGCTTAGAAAAACATGTTGTTGTACATTGGTTTCTTCGCACAAACCGTAAATTACTATTTGAACTAGTGCTAAAAAACTTAGGCTTTTATCGGTGTTGCTGAGTTGTTTTTTTACTGTATAAAACAACACCTATCGATTGTTCGAATAACAAATGCACAAAAACATATTTTTCGACGCTAAAATCGATACAGGGTATTCTGTATATTATAATATTATAATATCAGTATATTTTAATGGCTTAAATACCATATTTTCATATATGTTCTAATTAGTTGATTTTTCTTATTTGTCTTTTATGAGGCCTAGAAGCTCAGTTCGAGACTATGAACAACTAATAGGAAATAACTTAGGCTTTTCTTTAATCCGGTAAAACCGAGTTTTAGTTACATTTCGAACTTCAATAAAAATAATCTAGGTTAGTGCTGCCAAACCTGCTCTTCAGGGTGGGGAGGGGTGACTGCCTTTCTGTTATAGAGTGGCGGTGGGAGGGTGGGTGGCCGGTGGGTCCTGAAAATAGACTCGACGATTATTTTTTTACCTCGAAGTGGGTGTCCATAATATTTTTTCGCCCTTCCTATTATGTTTTAGTTGGGCGCCTCTGATCCAAATTTTATGATATACCATGCAAATAATAAAATTGTATATAGCATTAGTAAAATTTAAGTATTACTTCGGAAGTTAAACGGCATCTGGGTTTATTATTTTATTTTTTAAAAATAAAAGGATCAAAAAACCCTTCATCTTTTTTTTTATTAGTATTTTAATACATACAACGTGACTTCTATTTAAAATGTCTTTATTTAACATATTTTAACATTTTACAAACATTCAGCTATTTCCCTATAGGCTATTATATTTTGTTATTGTCTTTTTGTGGAATAGCTTTGACTAGTCAATGTTGTAAAACTAGATTCATTTTATTTTTGTGAACATTTCATACTCGCGTTGCACACAATAATTAGTGAACTAGTATACTTATTTTGTTATAAGAAAACATGAAGTTCTAATCTATGTTTATAAGTTCCTAGTCTTATAACGACCATCATAAATTTGTTTAATAAAATATATTTTGTTAATCGTAGGCTAGAGTGTTCTCAATCTAAATTCAAGAAGGTTAATACCGAAACGTTCATTCTATATATTTTAGATCTCTGGTAGAAATTCGTGCTGTACCTAGAATAACGCGAAAGTTTATTGTAAACTGTGTGGACAAATTCAAGGTCACAATTCAAGAGAGAATCGATAAAATAACTACGAGTATGATAATCGACGATTGTAGATCTTATATGAAACTTGGTCATTTATTGTTACGGAATGCATTTAATGATCTAAGTGTTTTAAAAGAACTATTGAAAAACATTGCAGAAGTTGATGAAGTGGAAATAGACCGTACATATGATTTAATGAATCGTACCTGCGACAGAAATCATGACCTCGAATCTTTTGAGGCACAGATCAATGAAGTAGTTGAATGTCACCGTATGTATATGAACATTATGAAATATGCTTTGTTGTACAACTTGTGGATCTACGTAAATGAAATTACTGCTCGCTTATCATCTAAAAACTCACATAAACCACCGTTATACAAAGCTTTTATGAACCGGGTTTTCGACGAAAAATCGAGGACGGAAATGTCTGTCGGCAGTGAGATAGAGGAGTACCACAGACTGATATTTAACTATTTTAATAAAATTGTACGGATTTTAAACTTAAAGGAAGATAAACAGTTAAAATTTATTGCTGAAATGTTCCAATCGTCATCATCTGCTCACACGTTAACTGATTTAGAAAAAGTCAAAGAAGTTGAAGAAAATATTTTGGCCCAACTGAAAGATTTCAACAATTTGAATTTTAGTTTTATTTTCCTGAAAGTCACTTTTCACCGGCTAAATTTGACAATGAATATTATAAGAAAAGGTTTATAACGTTAGTAAACAAGTTACAGAATATTGGCTATTCACCGTCTGTAACACTTGTGAGTCAATTAAGTTTCTTGTTATTCAGTAAGTATGGAGAAAGTGATTTTAGTCAATATGACTTTGATGTTATCGCTTCATTTGATCGGGTTTCCGGAAAATAAGTATCTATTAATTCGCATATCATTATAAAATAGTGATAATTTTTTTTTCTGTTTATTATTACCAACTGTTGTTTATTTATTTTTTCTGTTTGACTTTTGCTTCATATATTTAAACTGTAAAATTTAATATTAATTTAAAATGTGTGTATGGCTACTAAATAATGTGACTACATAAAATCAATAAAGGGTGTTAAAATTATACCATATTGTTATTTACTGTTTGAACTGATTGACATTTATAGCTTTTAAGTTCGGTATGATTTTTCTCAAAGGATATCCAAATGGCAATCGTGAGTCATATCGGATCGACTAGACTTATGTTTATTGTATAGAGCTTTTATTGGTTGTTCTTGCCAATTTTTTCAATTATTTTAAGAAATCTAAAAAATATAAGGTGTGTCTTGATTATGTTATGTCGCAATAACATATTGTGGCTAATTTTTTATTTGTATCTAACCGTTTGTCTTAATAAGATTATACAGTCATGTAAAAATTCGACATTTTTGTTAATTTGTTTTCCCTCTGTGTACCCTGTTTTGAATAGAAATATTTTTGAGGCTAAAGTTTATTCAAGTAGATTACTACTTCCTTCATATGTATGCATAATAATTTTTACAGATTAAAAAATGAATGCACCAAATGAGTTAATTCTCAATTTAATTATCAAGATTATAACATTACCAGACTCAAAATGGTAGCCTCCATTTTTTAATACTTAAATCATACACAATGCGCGTTCCAAGTGTTTAGTTCATTGGTGTACCCTTAAGATTTTAAGATTTTTTTAATAATCGCCTACCATTGTCTTGTTAAGACATAGGCTATACGGTAACTGTTCTTTATGTTCCGTTTATTTCGATGCTATTTGAACATTAGCAAGTAAAATTTTATTTTTTTTATAATATCTTTTCATGCTGGTTTTTTTTTTTACAACATCACCCAAATACCTCATTTTGGTGGCAGCGATTATACTATTGGAACCCACGTGTCCGTTCACCGTTACGTTAAATGTTCTTTTGTGCGTCAACGCGAATCAGTGTACAAATTTTGATCTTTTGGTAATAAACATTTGCTACTTGTTTTCTATTTTTTTTTTTTGGTACGTTAAATAATGTCATTGTTTGTTTATTACTAGAACAAAATTTATTTTATTCGTCAAATTTTTATGGGTGTCCCATAAAGATTTGACTGTATAATCATTGTTATGGCAAAATAGTTTGCCAGAACATGTTTTTTTATTGACTTATTTTTCGGTTTGTGGTTCAAACCACATACATTGCATTTGTGTTTTATAAATCAAACGTATATGAATTTCAATTCGATAGCATTTTCATAGCGAAAATAATAAAATTTTTGTTCTAAAAGATAATATCTGCAATTTGGTAGGGAAAATGGTTTGTAAATTCATGATAACAGTATTTTATGGGGTTTTGATATTTTCGCCAATACCCTCAGAGTGCGTCAAATCAAAAGAGAAACGAACGAGAAGAGCTATCACCCGTTTAAACGAAATCCGTGTGCAAGACAGCTGGAAGGCCATGGAA